TAGAATTTCCGGCATGATAGAAATTGTTGATTATTGTTGATGATACATTATGACCCTATAACATGCGTCCTTAATATGCATTATACGGAATTGACAATTCACTATTAAATTAACGTAAGCATTTCAAAGTGTTATTTTTCTTGTCTAAACAACGTGCAAGAGAACAGTTCGCCCAAAACCTGAGGTTTCTTCATTACTCCAAATCTTGTCATTTTTAGGCAAAATAGAAATTAGTTCATTATATATGTTACAACGACATACTTTGAATAGATTGATGCCCAAAATGTGTTTGTAAAATCTATTTATTTTAATAGATGATTAAACTTTTATTTTTGTTCTCATTTCGTTAAATGTGTGGTAGTATGGCACTCATATACAGTTGTTCCCCCAAATCCTGTATATTCTTATAATATTGTACTGTTTAGGTAAATATATTTTCTACTTTGGAAATGAAAAAGGTGCTTATAAATCCCTTTAAAACATTTAATCAATTTACGACTTTTGGATCCAAAGGATAATTTGATATTAGTGATAGACCGATAGCCCCAGGCTATGATAAATGTTGTCGGGCTTTGATAAAATTTAACATTTCTTCATGTTCCCTATAGTAAAAGCATTGAAAATTGACAATGGGGCTATGATAGAATGAAGTCCAATTTCTCACACTGTATTATATAATGCGTTTACAGTACTGTATGTGAGTTCAAGTATAAATGTCCACAATAGGAACTATATTAGCCATTGTTACACTCGATATATATATATACAATAATTAATAGTTGACATAAATAGGAGCCCTTGTGTGCAATACCATTGAACTGTTCACCTGGTATTCACTCCACAAACTTTTATCAATATGCATGTACTTGCAATGAAGCAGCCAAACCAAGGTTAATTAGTTTTCAATTTTTTTGTTGGTCTGGAATAACGTGTATTAAGAAGTTTGACACCACCCTCATGTGGAAATCCTTTCGTTTGGCATTTTGAATATTTACGAAAAAATTCGATTGTGTGGCTGCTGTGAAAATTTGACCGAATATTGGTGTCATATTGATTTGCCAGGGACGGCAGCATCAGAAGTGGAAAATGCATGTACATCCAAATTTGAACAACAGCAGAAACTGAAAGATGCCAAATGTTATCTGCACCTGTCCACAACAGAATGGGATCAACCTTCTTCACCAGAACATCATTTTCAGAGTCATATCCAAAAATCACAATCTGATTATTGGAACAGCCGAAAGATGGAATAAGAAATTGTGAGAGTTGTTTGTTCTCATTGACTTGTGCAAAACTGTTGGTGATTGTTTGTGCTATTAACTGGCAAAGTGGCTGCTTCATGGCCAAATCATTTTTTTTAGTTTCAATGTTTAATGAATACATTGCACATGGAGATAACGATGCACCTTCGGTTACACTATCTGAATCCTCCTCACTGTCTTCATCATGCTCATTTGTGACAATTTCCGGGACCTCTTTCCAAATCTTCAGAGGGATCTTCTGGCTGATCAAAATATCAGCAAAACCGTGCCAAATTTGAATAGCACCTGTAATAAAAAAAGGCATATTTTATAGTTCATAAATTGTTCTAAAACATCTCAAATTAGTCAAGAGGCTCACTGGGCATGCATCACTTATATCAAGTTCATGAGACTGAAAATAAAGGGATAATACATTTTTTGTAAAATGTCAATTATTTCTTGAAGAGTACCAGCCCCGGCCCTCTGCTCCAACACAGTCACTGGGGGTTACCGGATGAGCGTAATTACGCAATTACGCTCATCCAATATGGCGAAGGTGAAAACAGGCATTTAGAAAATGTCAGAATTTCACCCTTTTTTTGAACCCACAATTAAAAGAGAAGTAGCAAAGCGCAACGTTGAACAGTTTAAAAACGTGTAGTTATTCGAAATAGTTCGGTAAGTAACAACAAGAGGCCCAGAGGGCCTGTATCGCTCACCTGGTTATAAAGCGTTTCAGCTGAATTGCACTGGTAGAGCTTAAGAAGTTATAATTAACAAGTGGTCCACAAAAATAACATTGTAAAGCACTTAGTTTAACAATATGCCAAACAAAATTTGACCTTGACTTTCGACCTGATGACCTTGACCTATCGTCAGCTAACTATTCGTATGATTCCGACCAACTTTGCTTTATAATGTCATAACAAAATGTTTACAGGTTAAAAGATACAAAATTTACCCCTATTGGGCCCCACCTCTCAGCGACCAAGGGACCTACACCCTTCATTTATGTAATGTTTGATTCCCCGGTCCCAAGGATGTACCACATCAAATTTGGTCAGAATCCGATCAGTCGTTTAGGAGGAGTAGCATTTAGAAGATTAAATTACATAATTTTGTCCTATTTGGACCCCATTTAGGCCCCGTCCATCTGGCCCCAGGGGTTCCACCAAGTTTGTTTATGTAAAGTATGATCGCCTTGCCGTAGTGATGTTTCAGATTAAATATGGCAATATTCTGTGCAACAGTTTAGGGAAAGTAGGATTTTATATGCTAAAATACCCTAATTTACCCCTATTGGACCCAACCCCCCCGCCCCTATGGGGGCCACACCCTTCATTTATGTAACGTTTGATTCCCCGGTCCAAAGGATGCACCACAGCAAAATTGGTCAGAATCTGATCACTCGTTTAGGACGAGTAGCGTTTAGAAGATTAAATTACAAAATGTTGTCCTATTTGGACCCCATGTAGGCCCCACCCCTTCGGCCCCAGGGGTCGCACCAAGTTTGTTTATGTAAAATATGACCGCCTTACCCCAGTGATGTTTCAGATGAAATATGGTAATATTATGTGCAACAGTTTATGGGGAGTAGGATTTTATATGCTAAAATACCCCAATTTACCCCTATTGGGCCCAGCCCCCCAGCCCCTATGGGGACCACACCCTTCCTTTATGTAACGTTTTATTCCCTGTTCCCAAGGATGCACCACAGCAAATTTGGTCAGAATCCAACCAGTCGTTTAGGAGAAGTAGCGTTTAGAAAATTAAATTATATATTTTGGGCCCATTTTAAGGCCCCGCCCCTCAGGCCCTAGGGGTCGCACAGAGTTTGTTTATGTAAAATATGATCGCTTTGCCCCAGTGATATTTCAGACCAAATATGGTAATAATATGTGCAATATTTTAGGAAAAGTAGGATTTTATATGCTAAAATACCCCAATTTACCCCTATTGGGCCCCGCCCCTTAGCCCCTATGGGGGCCACACCCTTCTGTTATGTAACGTTTGATGCCCTGGTCCCAATGATGCACCACAGCAAATTTGGTCAGAATCCCATCAGTTGTTTAGGAGGAGTAGGCTTTTTTCTAGAAATTTTCCAATGTACCACTATTGGGCCCCACCCCTTAGCCCCTTTGGAGGCCACACCTTTCCCTTATGTAACGTTTGATTCCCTGGTCCCAAGGATGCACGACAGCAAATTTGGGCAGAATCGGACGGACGGACGGACGACGGATGCCACATAATCGCATAATTAAGCTCACCCTGGCACTTTGTGCCAGGTGAGCTAAAAATGGCAAGATGCAGGTAATTGCTTGTCCCGCTAATTTAGGATGTAGGCAATTTACAAACAAGATGTAGGTAATTTAACGAAGATGTAGGTAATTTTAGTCTTTTCCGCTTATGTTGCTTCTGATTGTTAAATTAATTAAACCGATATTTGTATGTAGGCATTTGCCTCAATATCCCGGGCATTGAACAAACTAGCACCAAACATCGTGAATTCAACTTGTATTACTCTTTAGAAAGCTAATATTCACGTCAAATGCAAGTGAACAGAACAAGAGGCCCATGGTGGTCACCTGAGAAATGCTCATTTTCATAAAAGTAAGGGTACCAATGTTCATACTTGCATCCCATGATATCAATTCCACTTAAAAATATACTGCAAAGTGTTAATTCCCTTTATAAACTATAGTAAATTTTACCCCCTCCGATCCCCAGGGGAGAAAGGGTGACCCGGCGGTAATAAAATGTATAATTTTGATAGAGCATCTTAGGACCTTAATTTCCAAATGTTCCCCTTTTTAGGCCACACCCTTCAGCTCCCTGGGGGGTCAGGGTCCCAATTTTCATAGCATCTAACTTCCATCCCATGATATTAATTCCACTAGAGTTTGAATGATTTCCTACGAAAAATAAAGAAAATACACTCAAAAGTGTTATTTCCCTATTTAAACTATAGTAATCTTTACCCCCTCCCCAGTGGGGAATGGGTGACCCGAGGGTAATGAAATTGATAATTTTGATAAAGCATCTTAGAACCTTTCCTTCATGAAGAATATTTGATTGCAGGGTTTCTGGTTCTGCAAAAGATTTTTTTTTTTTAAATATTGTCAAATTTTCCCCTTTTTGGGCCCCGCCCTTCAGCTCCCTGGGGGGTCAGGGTTCTAATTTTCATACCATCCACATCCTTCCATCCCATGATGTTAATTCCACCCAAGTTTAAATGATTTCCTACGAAAAATAGAGAAAATATACTCAAAAGTAACTATAGTAAACTTTACCCCCTCCCCAGGGGAGAATGGATGACCCATGGGTAATAAAATTTACATTTTTGATAAAGCACCTTAGGACCTTTCCATCCATGAAGAGTATTTGATTGCATAATTTCTGGTTCTGCAGAAGAAGATTTTTTAAATATTGCCAAATTTGCCCCTTTTTAGGCCCCACCCTTCAGCTCCCTGGGGGGTCAGGGTCCCAATTTTCATAGCATCCAACTTGATTTGAAGTGTAGGTCCATGAGTGACAATCTCTTATTTTTCGGGGTAGAAGAAAAAGGCCACGCCCGACTTTGACACAGTACGTAGTAAACGAAAGTGGTGTTGAAGTGAGGGTACCGACAGAAGACTGCATTGCCAATTATGTATATTTGATCGCACATGACAAACTCGGTATAAGTGAAAATTTGATCATCGACAGGGCACACCGGATAAGGGAGAAGAAGGAGGGGAAGACTAGGCCTATCGTAGCCAAATTCAATATGTACCAACAAAAGGAGCTTGTAAAACGGAACGCAAAGAAACTAAAAGGGACAGATATTTTTATTTCCGACCAGTTTCCGAAAGAGGTTCAGGATGCGCAGAAGAGGCTATGGCCAGTGTGTAAGAAAGCGAGAAACGAGAACAAAAAGGCGGTGATTATTAGGGATAAACTTTTTATAAATGATAAAGTGTATGATGGACGAGTACCGGACCTTCCCGCGGCCGCGGCCGGGAAGGGGACCCTAAAGGCCGAGGACGTCAGTCCAGTATAAATTAGGACAGTGATGAGAATGAGAGTATTTCAAATACTCTAAATGTACTGTCATGGAACATTAATGGTGGATTGGACAATAAATTAAAATCTAAACAATTTCAAACTTTTATTAAAACATATAATCTTGTATTTTTGACAGAATGTTGGATAACAAATGACTACCAAGTTGATATTGAAGGTTACTCAAACCACCAGCCAAATATAATGATTCTATACCTTTTAGTTCTTCAGAAGAAGTCGTTTTTAGCGTTTGACATATTTGACAGCTGTGACCTTGAAAGTAGGTCAAGGTCATTTTCGTTCTTAAACTTTGTTAGGCTCCATCCCAGGAAGCCATCAGCCAAATACGAAGATTTTATACCTTTTAGTTCTTCAGAAGAAGTCGTTTGAAGTGTTTGACACATTTGACCCCTGTGACCTTGAAAGAAGGTCAAGGTCATTTTCGTTCTCAAACTTTGTCGGGCCCCTACCAACAAAGCTTTCAGCCAAATATCATTACCCTAGGCCTGTCCGTTCGTCAGAAGAAGTTGTTTAAAGGAAAAGTTGACGGACGAGGACGGACGACGGACGACGGACGCCGCGCCATGACATAAGCTCACTTGCCCTTCGGGCAGGTGAGCTAAAAATGAATGAAACTGCACCATACAGCTGTTTCGTCCTTCTAGGACTCATCGGTGATGCTAGGGGCCAAAAATTGGAAATCCAGAAGGGAAGTTAATCAAAATCCGAATGGGCCTAAACTACTATTTAATTATATGCATTTCAAAAATTTAGATATTGGTAAATTTCAAATAAATGTCGAGGAAGTGTGTATATTCTGAGCCGTGCCACAACTAACAAAGAGATTTACATGGCGTCAAGGTTACGGCAAACCTCGGGGACTAAAAAATCCACCTTTCTTAATTACGCTTTACCAAATGTAAATGTTCACAACATTGAAGATGTTCCATTTTTCTGAGTTTTCATATTTCGTCACCTTCAACTAAACCAGATTCCTCAAATTAGCTCCCAGACAGGTTTATACTACATACATGTATGGTTTACACGCTGAGCCGTTGTCAAAGGAAGAGTACACTGATGTCACAAGCACATAAACTCTTAAAAACGGCCAAATTATCCAACGCGCATTATTAAAAACAGATTTTTTTCTAGTGGTTTGTTAAGATAGTGTATTTTTCTAAATCCATCAACGCACTGGTCACAGTGGTGATGTTGACGAATCTTATGTAACAAGTTATATTAATTAAGAAGGATTTTCATTTTCA